GGTCCGCGAGTTCCACCTCGAATGGCCTATGTACCAAAGGGAAAACCTGATGATTATTATCACCACAAAAGAGGTCTTGGTTATGTCTCCTCATCCGACGATGAATGTTGCTGGCAAGTCATCGATCAAATTGCTAACAAAGCTAGAAAAGGATGCTCTTCTGACTCTTCGGCTTGGGATTCTGACGCTAGCCTTGGTGAAATGTTTAAAAAGCTAATGTCGAACATGGTTACGGTCGATCCTACCACAATAGAGGAAGACGACCAGATGCCGACACGGGAAGATCCTTGGGTTCATCACCTAAACATGCAGTACGGCGAGAGCAAAGAGAGCCTCCTACCGAAGATCAAGTACTCCAGGTGAATATGGGAACTGAGGAAAATCCTAAACCGATATTCATTAGCGATAGTCTTCTACCCGATGAGAAAGAAGAGTTAATCTCTCTTATCAGGGAGTACATCGATGTGTTCGCCTGGAATTATGAAGACATGCCAGGACTCGACCCGAACGTAGCAGTACATCGTCTCAATATCAAGATGGATGCCAAACCAGTCAAACAACAACAAAGACGGTTTCGTCCGCAAATGATGGAGGCGATCGAAGCTGAGGTTAAAAAGCTTGTCGACTCGGGCTTCATTAGGGAAGAGCAACATCCAGAATGGCTTGCCAATATTATCCCGGTCCTTAAGAAGAACGGGAAGATCAGGGTTTGTATTGACTTTAGAGACCTCAACGCTGCTTGCCCAAAAGATGATTTTCCCCTTCCCATCACGGATGTTATCATCGACAATACGTGTGGGTTCGAGAGGATGTCTTTCATGGATGGTTTATCTGGTTATAACCAAATAAAGATGCATCCAGATGATAAAAAACATACCGCATTTAGAACGCCTCTCGGCGTCTTCTGCTACACAGTTATGCCATTCGGCTTAAAGAATGCAGGTGCTACATATCAACGAGCTATGTCAAAGATCTTTCAGGATCATCTCCGAAAGACTGTTGAATGCTACGTAGATGATCTGGTCGTGAAAAGTCGTGATAAAAAAGATCACATTAAGGACTTGAAGACCATGTTCGACTTGATGCGAGCCCATCAATTGAAGATGAATCCTACCAAGTCTTTCCTCGGAATGTCGAGTGGAAAATTCCTGGGATTCGTCGTCACCACCAAAGGTATCCACATCGATCCTGATAAAGTAAAGGCGATCAATGAATTACAACCTCCGAGAAACCTCAGGGAGCTCAGAGGATTGCAGGGGCGATTGGCTTATATCCGTCGGTTCATTTCGAACCTCTCAGGAAAATGCCAACCATTCTCCAAGCTCACAAAGAAGGGCGTATCTTTTGTATGGGATGACACTTGTCAAAAGACATTCGAGAGTATTAAAGAATATCTCTCGAAACCTCCTGTACTCGTCGAACCGAAATCGGGCAAACCGTTCTTGATTTATGTCAAGGCGACGAGCCACTCATTAAGTGCATTACTTGCACAAGATGACGATAACGGTCATGAGCAGGCTGTTTATTATTTAAGCCGAACCATGGTAGGCGCTGAATCTCGATATCCTATGATTGAAAGAGAATGTCTCGCCTTGGTGTTTGCTATTCAGAAGATGCGGCATTACCTGGTTGGACAGACCATTTATGTCATCTCTAAAGTTAATCCGGTTCAAGTATTCATGACTCAACCAGCTTCCATGAGCTGGCGATTAGCAAAATGGGCCTTACTTTTGTCCCAATACGACTTGCATTTTAAACAACAGAAGTCAGTAAAAGGACAGGCCATTTGCGATCTCCTGGCAGACAATCCAACTACGGATACCGCCGAGATATATGACAACCTACCTGATGAAACCCACGAAGTCAACGCGACTTCACACCAACAAGTATGGCGTTTATACTTCGACGGCGCTTCGCGAGCAACTAATGTTGCAAGTGCTCCTGGAAGTTCTAAGATTTCTTCCGGAGTTGGAGTTGTCTTAGTTTCCCCGGGAAAACACGTGATGCCTCGAGCTTACTCGTTGACTGAACCGTGCTCAAATAACGTAGCCGAATATAATGCATTACTCATAGGACTCAGTTTTGCTAAAGAACTGGGGGTGGAGTATCTCGAAGCATTCGGCGATTCTTAACTGATAGTTAAACAAGTTCAGGGAGAGTACGAGGTTCGAAGCCAAGATTTAATACCATACCATAAGATGGCAGTGGAGATGGCAGAATCATTCGAAGGATTCTTTATCGAACATATTCCACGGCTACAGAATACCTACGCAGACGCGTTAGCAGCTTTGGCCGTATCTCTGGCACAACCTCCTGAGACAGAACAGTTTGTTACGGTAAGAACTCACCAACTCTTAGTGCCGCTTTACGATGAAGTTGCCAAGGAAGAAGAGGTTCAAGAGGTGCACGCTACTCAAGTCGAGTTCGAACCACGAGATTGGCATTTCCCCATCATCGACTACGTCTTGCATGGAATCTTACCAGAAGATGTGAAGGAAAGAGAGTCAATCAGACGAAGAGCACCAAGATTCTACTATAATACGGAGAATCGAACGCTATACCGCAAGGGGTACGACGGGTTGCTAGCACGTTGCTTGTCAACCAAAGAAGCTGAAGAGGTCCTTAGGGAGGCGCATGAAGGAGAGTGTGGCGCGTACCAACCTGGTCCCAAACTTTATGACCGCATCAGAAGAATGAGATATTTTTGGCCTTTCATGATGAGTGATGCAATCACGTATGCCCGAAAGTGTGATGCATGTCAAAAACATGCGAATTATATGCACCAACCTCCGGAGCATCTGCATCCTTCGGTTACGTCATGGCCGTTCGAGACTTGGGGAATGGACATTGTTGGCCCTATAAATCCCCCATCAGTCAAAGGTGACCGGTTCATCCTGGTAATTACCGATTACTTCTCCAAATGGGCTGAAGCAGTTCCACTCAGAGAAGTTAAAACGAGTAACGTCATTGCATTCATCAAGCACCATATCATCTACCGACATGGTGTACCAAGACGAATCATACATGACAACGGTCCTCAATTCGTCAGCAACGCCTTCATCAGGTTTTATGAAAAGTTTAAAATCCAGGATATCTCGTCAACGGCTTATAATCCCACAGCAAATGGATTAGCTGAAGCCTTCAACAAGACTATCATAAAGCTTTTGTCAAAAATCATGAAGAATAACAAGCGAGACTGGGATGACAAGCTTGGCGCGGCTCTATGGGCCTATCGGACCACGGTGCGCACACCGACGGGAGCAACCCCGTATTCACTGGTATACGGATGTGAAGCTGTTCTTCCATTGGAGATTTAAATCCCGTCTCTTCGGATCGCTCTTGCAACCCAGATGACGACCGAAGAACAACATCAGAAACGCCTCGAAGAACTCGAGAGGCTCGCTGAAAAGCGCCTGGAAGCCCAACAACATATTGAGTTTTACCAAGCTAGAATTTCTCGAGCCTTCGACAAAAAGGTTCGACAAAGAAGTTTCAAAGAAGGGGATTTGGTTCTAGCTGAGAGGCGGCCTATGATCCTTAATTCCAAGAAGAAGGGCAAATTTGAACCCAAATGGGAAGGACCATTCGTAGTGGAGACAGTCTACTCGAGTGGCGCATATCGCCTTGTCACCAAGGACGGTGACCGGCTTATGATGCCGATAAACGGCAAATTCCTGAAAAGATACTACCCTTAGTATCTTCAGGAAAATTGATGTATCGGGAAGTTCTCGGAAGAATACCACATGCGGTATTCTTAGGGATAACCCAGTCACTGTAAAAGATGAATAAGAAATCCACATTCGAACTCCGAGTGTCAGAATGTTTCTTCTTATTATCAAAATTCTCTAACTCTTATGAGTTATTATTTTTGTGAGATGAGATCCAATCCTCTGATAGGTTAATCTTTCCTCACCAAACCATCCGCTGATCGAATTAATCGACAGTGGATTCACCAAAATTTCCATCTGCCCGTCGTTGGCATTTCTCAGACTCAACATGTTAGGTCCTAATCACCTAGCATTAAAGTCCTCCTTTAAGTGATAATATGAGTTGGCACGTTCTTTGCTACCTGTATTCTACTTTCTTTGCTTTCAGGTCAAACCTATAAAAGTTAGGGCCAAAGCCAAATTCCTCTCTCGATTCCTTCCATGAACGAGAGGTCCACTTTCAGTTTGAACAATCAAACTTATAAAAGTTAGGATTGTTCCCGATCTCACTTAGTCAAGCCTACAGGTAGCTAGGACTAAGACCGAGTTATTCCTTTTCGATAAACGAAAATCTGCCTTTGTTCTTTTCCACCAAACCTATAAAAGTTAGGGTCAAAATTGAGCTTTCTCCTCAATGAATGAGGGATTCTTTGGGTTCAAATGACCAATCCTATAAAAGTTAGGGTCGTTCGAACCTTTCCGATTCTCGGAGTGGAGATCCCACTCTTAGTTTCATCATTCCGGATTCTGGGGGTGGAGATCCCACCATATAAAATTCTTCCTCTTCAGCACCGGGAGATAGAATATAAAATTCTTCCTCTCCCGTTTCTCAGTCTGTCTTTGTTCTTAGAAAAGACACAATTCTCAACTTCCAATCCGGGCACTTGGTGCACGGGGAATTTTATCTTAACTCCTAAATAGAGATAAGTCTACGCCTAACACGCGTTACCGGTTTAGTCTTTTTACCGATTGAAAAAGACACCAAGGTCTACACCTGGGGGAATTTTATCCCGAAGCCTAAGTAGGGATGAGTCAACACCTAACACGTGTTGCCGGGTAGCCTATTCTCGTAACAAGGGTGAAGCCTATGTATTCGAAATCATAGCACAAAGCCTCAGAAAATTTACTCTCTTAGCACAACGTTACACGCGGAACGGATTCAGGCAATCCGCGTGCTAGCCCGATTCAAACGGTAATCGGTAAAGGCACATCAAACCCGTTGATGGCTGGGGGTTTGCCAAAAATCCTGCAACTTTTATCGTCGCTGAATTCAAAGTAAATAAAGAAATATCATGAAAGAAGCAAATGCAAAGTCTCTATTGATAGATCAAGTCAAGGCATACAATAAAGAGCTCGTTAGCCCGAAGGCAGCTGACGGCTAAGGACATGAGACTCTAAACTAGAAAGCCTATCTATATAACTCTGCTCAAGTTCTGCCTGTAGACCAGCCCGGACGGATTCCTCAGAACTGCTCAAGATCTTCACGGCTTCATTCTTCAGCTTCATCAGTCTCTTCTGTGTAGATCCTAGCTTCTCGAGGGCCTGTCCACGAGAATGCTCTACTCCAGCCAGGTCTTCTGCAATGATAATAACGGACTCCTCGGCACGCTTCAAGGCCTCCTTCAACCTAGCCACTTCCTCGCGACCGAAATCCAAAGAGCGGAGTAGCTCGGCCCTATCTGTATCCCTCTTCGCCACGGTAGCCATCAGCTGCGCAACTGAACGCTCATGTGACTGAAGCTCACCGCTGATGGAAGATCTCAGGTCGCGCCACTGTGCCAGCCTATGCTCCATCTAAGAGGACACAAAGGAAGAGACCCCATTAGCCTTCAGCTCCTTCAACTCTCGGATCTCCGACTCCAGAACAGCAAAATCAGCAGTGAAGGAATCGGCCAACTCTGGATACCCTTCTTCTCGGAACATCGGCATGTGACGAGAAAAGGAACGCCTGAACTGATCGAAGCCATATCCTCGATGAAGAAGTTTCTCGATCATGCCGTTATAAAAGACGGTAAAAAGGCCGAGGTCTGTACGAAAAATGTCTTTGTCGGGATCGGTATCAGCCAAGAGGACGCGGACACGCTCATATAGGGATGATCGAGGTCCTACAAGAAACAGTGCGGAAAGCTAAGACATTATCGAATACGATAAGAAAATTTAAAGGCAAATTCCGAGCATACCAATGCCAACGGAAGTCCCCTCAGGCTGAGATCCGACAGGTTCCGAAATAACTGCAGGAGTAGTCATGGAGGGTATATCAACCCCTGTAGGCAAATCGGTCATACCTCTCGGCTGTGGCGGGGAGACACCGCTCTCAGGCAAACTATCAGTCCCAGAAACTGTAGTGGCATCAGGCACAACGGCTGGTCCTATAGTTGCACTTCTTTGTTAGTCAAAATAAAAAAATTTAGACAAATAAGGAGGGTCGGGATGATAAGGTCATCTGCATACCTGTAGGTCCATCATCCTCAGGTATCCGGGGGATGTCAGGAGTCATAAGAGTATCAGTCCCGGTGGCTGGTTCTATGATTGCACCCATATATTAGTCAAAAGTCAGATAAATAAAAAGGAGCACGGTGTCCCTAAATCGTATGCGTACCTGCAAGTCCGTCACTCCGAGGTAAACTAGATATGCCGGGAATCGATATTGGGTTAGTCCCAATGACTGGCGCTGTAATATTAATCATTCGTTAGTCAGACAAAAGATCAGGTAAAATGAAGGGAATCAGATGTGTACCTGTGAATGAATCATTCTCAAAGGGTGGTCCCACAGTTCCTCTGGTGGCTTGTTCAGCCAACATGTCGGCAAATAGTCCGATGTCAGGTCCCTGGAAACTTGGTACAGGAGCACACCCCCGTTCCTCGAAACCTACATCATGATAGGCTCCATCCTCAGCTGGCTTTTCCATCGCGACATCTGCAGGATAACCTAAATGTTGGAAGATGAGGAAGAAAGGAAAGCTCAGAAATACCTGCAGCAAAAAACAGAAGATTCTCTTTCCCCATGCTTGAGGAGGGTATCATTGGATATAGATATACCTGAATATGGGACGGTGGGCCCAACACTATTCACCTGCTCAAGATCAATGTTTAGATCGATGCCCAGAGAACCGTCATGAAGGGCGTCGCACATCTGCTGCATGAAGCAATCCATGTTATCAGATCCAGGAGATACCGGACCCGGTGGAAGTTCGCCCTCTTCAAAGAACCCTGGAGCATAAAACATGGTTACGAATCCCAAAAGGTAAATCACCTTAAAGCAATAAAAATAAATATTACCTTCCCCTCCATCGGCGATGCTTCCTAAATCCATTCCATAAGAACGCTGACCGTCGTGTGGTTTATGAGCGATCTTCTTCCTTTTCGCTGGAATCACCCTCCAAATTCTGGAACAAATAGCTAGCAAACTGCTTCAAGCTGATCTGCTTCTTCCTTTTCGCTTGAGGAGAAGTCTGGATCAAGGAGGTATAATAGTGACAAGTGAGGTCCCAAAGAGTGTCATACATATCGGGAGTATCTTTCTTCAACCACTCCAACTGCTGGTTCGAGGGAAAATACTCGTGATATGGACAATCCCCCATCGGAAGACCAGAAACTTGATGCATCTCATGCAAGGCCAACCCTAACTCGCCATCGCTGGTCAGGAATGTGTTACTATCAGGCATGTATGTCTCTAACAACGCCAAGAAATGGCGACAGCTGACCGGGAGTCCGTACATGGTGGCTCGTATAGGTGCATACAATCCACTGCTCTTCAAATCCCTCTCCCAGCGCGCCAAGAAAAAACTGGTCATGCGTGTCCACCATCCCTTGGCTAGTGAGGAAGCCCAACCATAGCATCTATAATCTGGTGGAGGTAACCTTCTCCCAAGAAGAGCCAGACGATTACCCACGGTAGGATTACCCACGGTAGGAGCAGCTGTTGATACCTCGCCTGGGGGTGCAGTGTCAAGGCCCATGATCCCTGGTCGAAGACCACGAATATGATGGTACCCGCTAGAACCAGGAGTCTTGTGATGAGAGGCATATCCACACTGGACTCGCTCAGCATCATTAGTAAGGTGACAGGACATCTGTCGCCCCACTGCTTGTCCCTTCAAATGGGTGAAAGAATATTGACGCGGAATGGAGGGGATGTACAAGAGAGCTCCTTCGTCGAGAGTCAGCCAGTGTTCCTCGGTAAGTGTCAACGTAGCAGGATCCTCAACGTGATCTCCGAACAGGAATGGGCTTCTTCAAAGCCCGAGTAGAGGTAGAATCCGCAGTAAAGGAGGCATCTGTAATAAGCTGGCGTAAGCAATGACGCCCTCCTTCCCGTATCAAACGACAGGATTCGTCGGAGCGATCTCTGTCAAACTGAGGGAATGGACTAACGGCCTGCCTAATGGAAGCTGAAGAGAAGACCTCCCGGCTACAACCAGTATTGGCATGAGGAGGAAAGCTGCCCGCAGGAAACTCTACTGTAATAAAACACAAGGATAGAGTCAGAAAATCCATCTCATAAGAAGAAAGATAAGCTCATTCACGGAATAATTGGAGAGACGATTTTGAGTGTCCTACACTGGAAGAACGGTATGTATCATCACATAAATAACGTGGTAACATACACCGACCTATAAGGTGTAGGACAGCACAAAATCGCCCTAATATACCAGAAGACTTGAATTGGCCAAGCAAGGCAAGTCCGAAACCTTAACCCCGCGAAGGAGGGTATCGGTTCTTCCTTCATGACCCGCGAAGAGGTCAATCAGGGATACAGAAAATATAAATTCTCACCCCCAAAGAAAGAGGTCGCTGGAAAAGATGCCGTGGGAACCTCTTCCTCGCTGTGCTGCGAATGAGAACGACTCCTACGAGGTCGAGGTCGGAGTGGAGACATCGAAAATCTGCAATGAAAAGCAGCAAGTCAGGTACAATCTAAAATATGGATACACAAAATTTAAAAGGGAAATTAAGAACTTGAACTTAAGTCCTATGAATAAATAGGATTTTATAGTTGAAGTCTAGTTAAACCTACAAATTTCGTGCATGCGAAACAATGATTATTATTTTTTTGCGGTAAGTTTTGGCGAAATACCCAAAATGCCCCTCGTGTTCAAGGCTAAATTCGGGTCAAGGACACACTCGAGTTGGGTCATGGTCATCATATCTGATCATATAGCACCCCCGATACCCCACAATTTTGGTTAATTTTACAAATAAGCCCTTTTGTAGAATTTAGCCAATTTTGCATATAGACCCCCTCATAAATTTCAATTTAACGTCCACATGCCTTTATCAAAACTTTGATTATTGGGTTGTGGTCCAAACTTTTGAAATTTCAGCCCTAGACTTCAGCACCTTTTGCGAATAAACCCCTCTACACTTTGTGGGTTACTTTTTGCAAACAAACCCCTCAAACAAACATTGTTTCTTTGCATACAAACACCTCTCAAAGTTTGGCCAAATGGGTATGAAATTCTAATCCCAAATTTCAGTCCACATTTGAATAAAAAACCCCCAAATTTCAGTCCACTTTTGCATAAAGGTCCCCCAAAATTCGGCCATATTGTAACTTTACATAAAACCCCCCAAATACTTGTACATACACAACCCATCATCTTGAGAGTAAAAAAGTTGTGATCTTTGCATGAGAATTCATGGTGTACCCCCATCACAAACATAAAACTATGAACTTTCTTGAAAAAGAGGAGAGTTTTGAAGGGAAACTTACCAAATCAAGTTGTGCCTCTTGAGCTTGAAGATGAAGAAGAAACCCTAGCTTGGAGGAGAGAGAATTTTTGGCCAAGGAGGGGATACCAAGATCCGAATTTTTTGGGGTTTTAAATGCAAGTGTTTTTGAGGGTTTGGAGCTCTTGAAAGAGATGGAAACAATGGTGGAGGGATGGAGGTAGAAGAAGAGGTTTAAGAGGGAAAGAATCCTCTTTTGAAAAGAATTTGGAAAAGGGGGGAAACAAAAGAGGAAAGAAAATTCAAAAGAAAGAAAAAGAGAGGGGGGGACCTCGGTTTTGGCCAAAACACCCCAAGGGGTGTCTCGGTTTTGTTGAGACACCCCTTGGGTGTTTTAACCCAATTTTGACCCCCCGAACCTCTTTCGAAGTCCGAATTTGCCTATTTTTCGCCGGTTGTTGGACATTTCGACGAAATCCACACGAGTCAACGTTCGACGATTCGAAACCCTAGGGTCAACGCCGGTCAACGCGTAACCCTAGGTCAACGCCAGTCAACGCGTTGCGACCAAAGTCGACGTTCGATGATTCGAAATCCACACGAGTCAACGATTGACGATTCGAAACCCTAGGGTCAACGTCGGTCAACGCGTAACCCTAGGTCAACGCCAGTCAACGCGTTGCAACCAAAGTCAACGTTTGACGATTCGAAACCCTAAGGTCGACGCCGGTCAACGTGTAACCCTAGATCAACGCCATGTCAACGCGTTGCGACCATAGTCAACGTTCGACGACTCGAAACCCTAGGGTCAACGCCGGTCAACGCATGACCTTAGGTCAACGCCAGTCAACGCGTTGTGACCAAAGTCAACGTTTGACGATTCGAAACCCTAAGGTCGACGCCGGTCAACGCGTAACCCCAGGTCAATGCCAGTCAACGCGTTGCGACCAAAGTCGACGTTCGATGATTCGAAATCCACACGAGTCAACGATTGACGATTCGAAACCCTAGGGTCAACGCCGGTCAACGCGTAACCCTAGGTCAACGCCAGTCAACGCGTTGCGACCAAAGTCAACGTTTGACGATTTGAAACCCTAAGGTCGACGCCGGTCAACGTGTAACCCTAGGTCAACGCCATGTCAACGCGTTGCGACCATAGTCAACGTTCGACGACTCGAAACCCTAGGGTCAACGCCGGTCAACGCGTGACCTTAGGTCAACGCCAGTCAACGCGTTGCGACAAAAAGTCAACGTACGGTGATCTGAAACCCTAAGTCAGCACGATGTGACAGAGATAGTCAGTTCAAAGTCGACTCAATGACACGAGCCAAACTCAACTCACTGGTGGTAAACTCGAGACTCCGACGACGGCCAAGCGATAAACGCAGCGCCGGAAGAACTTCGGTTATTCGTCAAAGCATCGAATAGACCGAAAATCGAAGGAGCCAAGAGTTGAAGCTAACTACAGGTCCTTTACGCCGACTGAAGGCTAGACCAATCACATCCAAAGTATTCCAGCCTCTTCTATAAAAGAAACAAGGCCGGAACACTTTGGAGGGGGTATCCCTATAGGTCTCCACGAACAGTTCAGTGTTAAAGAGCGACGATGAACGTCACTATCCGATCCACAGGAGTTCGATTGACGTCGATGAACGATTGAAGTGAATCGACGAACTACGGAATAACGAAGGCACGGGCCAATCGGGAACCCTGCGATGTTCACAAGAAGAACAATGCCCTTCATATCTCGTTCACTCTACATCCAACCATCAGAACAGATAGAACTCTTCGTCAAGCTTCCAACGCACTTGGAATCACTCAAATCCGAGTTCGGACGAAGAATTTACGGCGGAAACAATCAAACGTACGCAACGGAGCGTCTCAGGCTGAATTGGGACACCCGAGGTGTCTCGGGAAAGTCGAAACACCCCAGGGGTGTCTCGGCCAAGCCGAGACACCCTAGGGTGTCCCGGCTTTGCCGAGACACCCCAAGGGTGTCCCGGCTTTGCCTAGACACCCCAAGGGTGTCCCAACGCCCTATGTACCCTCATGCCTATAAATAGGAACCTTAGGCCTCACTTTTGGAGGATCTGGATTTTTGGGGAGAATTGGCGAAGCCCTGCTGGAGTGAAGAGTGATCGAGCCCTTCAACACGAGAGAGTTCTTCATCAGATCTACCTCACCCGTATTCGTTCCTTAGCATTACCCCTCGTCGGTAATCCTAAGAAGAGCAAATATCTCACTTTATCCGAGATAGGCGCTTCAAGTTTCTAGATCCCCTCGCGGATCGACGAAGCTCTGCCCGGTTTTTCTGGATCAGATCTGATTGCCAGGTAGTCCACGAATATCGACGTCCCCGTCACAGACTAAAGACCCACGCAAGCAAGAGACGATAAACGGATCTTGTGTTTATTTTCAAGAAAGTTGTAATTTTTTATTTTCGTTATTTGAATTCATTTGTAACGTTTGAAGTTTTAATGAAATCAATGATGAAGACAACTTTTGACGAAAACAATATACTCAAAGGCTCCGATGGTAGTAGCAAGATAGCATCTAACATCGTTGATTTCACCTCGAGACGAAAAATGATGTGCGTAGCAGTTGATAATGTCTTGGGGTGCAAGTTGGATCAATGGTCGATCCATATGAGTTATTTTTTTCTTTTGCTTCACTCTATTAAGAAACCTATATATGCAACATATACACAATCAAAAGCAATAGTCAAAAAGTAGCATCACTCTATTAAGAAAAAAAATACAAATAAGGGCATTGATAGCAACTGATAAGGCAACACAATCATATAATTAGTTTATTATTTCAGAAAACCCCTCTTTAAATGGTAAATTACGGGAAAACATATGTTTTATCTTACTAGTGCTCAACTGAAAGAAGCAGATAAAAATAAAAAATAAATTGAGATTTATTTTTTACTTTGATTCCCCCAAAAGTTTATCCACTTTTTCACTTTAAAACCACAATTTTTTTTCAACACTTACATACCCTAAAGCTTTAATGTCATTTCACTTTGATTATTTGATACTTCAAAGTACATTTTTATCGTTTTGATATACCAAAGATTCAATCTCATTTCATTTTGATACCCCTATCTACTTATCATTAGATTTTGTATTAAATTTGTATCACGTGGTTGCCAACTAGGTAAAAGAGATCTAATGTATAGCATGTTAAGGACGTAGTATAAATTTAGTAGGAATCTAACATAATATGGACAAGGGGTATCAACGTGCAACTTAATTGAAACTTTGGGTTATCAAAATGTCAAAGAAATATCTTGGGGGTATCAAAGAGAAATGGGATTTACACTTTGAGGTATCAAAATTTCAAGTTTCAAAGTGTTAAGAAGACACTTCTTAAAAATATATTAGAAGATATAATATATCATTTGTCCGACAAATGCACGTAAGATGTCAGCCTATTGAGTTTTTAGACACCAGATATGCATATAGTTTTGCATACTTAGTTGCGGCACGAATCGACGAGCTTCATGCCAAACTCTATCTACAAGTTACAAGAAAATATTTGATAAGAACCTCTCGATTTTTTCAAGCAACACTAAATGAGCTGCTTATTTTTTTTGACAATCATATTATTAGCTTGTACTTCACCGCATGTGATGCGTGCCTCACACATTGCATAATTGTGTTGAGTAAACAAAATATATCATTAACACATTCTAATACAAATAGGTGTGTAAAAACATTACTGGAAATAACCCGTCAAAATTTTTTAAAAGAGGTTTCATTTTTAGGTTTCAAACAATAGTCACTAAAGATGTATGCATGATATAAATCAACAGAAAGTATGAATCTTTACTTTCGATAAGAAGATAGATGTGGGTTTTAATTTTAAAAATAATTCAGCTAGTCATGAATTAATTCAAATATTAATATATTGTATGTACTTTTCAGTGCACTCAATGCGTACATGTCAAGAATATTGTTCACACCTTAACTATAGGTTAGGTTTGAATAAGGACTCCTATTGAACCAAAACAGATGTTATCACAAAATGATTAAACACATAGTCACTAGCCCACTCCAACAAGTGAGAGAACCTGCCATTTCTAGACATTAAAGATCAAATCTATTAGTATTCCTTAAACTGACATGATACATGAAAATAAAGAAAACCTACAATCAATAAATAACAATTTTCAAGAAAAAATGTTCCTATTTCTGACTCATGAAAAAAGATTCTAAATGAGGATTGCGAACATTGATCTAGGGTTAATAGGGGCTTCTTTAGCTTCTCCAGAGGAGCAATTTGAGCTAGCTCTAGATAGGTACAATGAAGGCTCGAGCTCAATGTTGATGGAGAGCAAAGTCCTTGGGCCAAAGAGGACGTACATTATCAACGCAAGAGGTATTATCCAAAGTTAAGATGTCTGGTTGAACTCTAGAGAAGAGGGTCAGGACATCTGCTTGGATTGAATGTGAGGTATAAGGTTATGGAGATCTATATTCAGAAATTGTGGAAAGAAATTGGCAGCCCCCAATTTTACTTACTAAAAGCTGGAATTTTACCTAGCAATAGCTCGCAAAAATATAAAATAAAATAAAAATCAAACACGGCATTAGGTAAGGGTACTATTTTCAATATTTAGAGATGGACTTCAATGCTATAAATTCAATAAAGAAACAATAGAGAAGATATCAAATAATGAGGGGAAAATCAGCCAGGAAAATAATCTTACCTAAATTTCCAATGCCTCCCAATCCAATCTAAGCTTCTGATATTGTAGTAGTAACGTCTTCATCATCGTCTTCTTCCATCGTCGGAGAGAGAACTCGACGGTAAGAAAATTGCTATTTACTGATGAGAGAGAGAGTGTGTGTGTTTTAGTTTAATGTGAACCTTCTACAAAGGCCCAATGGAGGGGGGGCTTCTTATAAAATCACCATCTCACATATTTTCCTACCTCACGCCCTGCTGGGCATTAATAAAATGATCAATTTTCATCATCATATCTTTGCAATAAATGTTATATTGTCATTATTTTTGCTTTTGCAGGCCGCACATGTCTCTGCACTACTTTCTCTGATGCCTCAAAATTATTGCACGGACTCACAAATTTTTGCAGGCTCGGAGAATTATTAAATTGGGAGTCGAGTGGTCTCTATTCATTAAATTCTCATATTAAATTGGGAGTCGAGTGGTCCATATTCAAAATTATTGCACGGACTCACAATTTTTTACAGGCACGGACTCACAATTGAAGAACCACAAAATAAGAAGTAGGGGGTGGAATCGAATCGAATTTGAACAAATTGTGCAAGGTTCGAATTTGAGTTCGGTTTATATCAGGCTATTCGTGTTCGTGTTCGTATTTGAATTCGATTCAAATACTAATACAATTTCGAATTCCCTTCGTTTGCTTATATTGATGTTCGAAACAAATCATGAATATTCGATTAGCATTATTCTGCAACTTTGATTTCGAATTATTCGTCAAATATTCGCTATGTATTCGCTAATAATTCGAAAATCATAAAAAAATATAATCAGTAAACAAAAGGTTTTTTTTTACCTTTCCAGTGAGAAAAAGCATAGCATCACGACACAAAATCTCCAAGATCTGCAGAGATCGAGGGAAGTGGGCGGTGTTGACCCTATAGTTTTAATGATGATTTGTCAAACAATTTATCGCTAATATATTCTCTAGTTTTGTGTTTATGTTTCTCTTTACAGGTATTTCAACACACGACAATCAAGTGTTAAAGATTCAAGTTCATATGTGTGGATTTACCTAAGTATAAGTTTAGTTTACTTACATATATTATATGTTTATATCTAAGCTCAATATATGTGCACTTAACACGATTTTTGACGTTTTCTACCAAATAAATGATTTTTCATCAAACGTCGTTACAATATCTTTTATCTCATGTTTACAGCTCTTTCATACTCTATTATATATTGTTAGACCCTAGAGGGGGGTGATTAGGGTCTTATGCTAATCTAATCCCGATTAATTACCAATTAAAATTATGTTGATTAATATGTTCTTGCAAGAGATAGATATGAATAAGAACAATAAGAATATGCACAAATAAAATATAAGCCAAGCAAAACACAAACACACGATATGTTTACGAGGTTCGGTCATCACGACCTACGTCCCCGTTCTTCACCTCGAGGAGATATCCACTATCACAATCTGGTTTGGAAGTCGGAACTTCTACACACTCGGTTTACAAGATCACCGAAAACTCTCACACTACACAATCACTAATCAATCACACTTTATACACTAAGTGTAGGAACCTAGCCCGTGTCCTCCTCCTCAAGTGCTCGGTTACAACCTCTCCCTAGGTTCGTCAACCGACGCCACTCCTATTGGATTCAACCACGTCTCTCACCTCACACTTCTCTCGGTGTACAAGTGTATTACAAGTGATTCTCACAAAAGAAGATTAAATACAATGGTTTGTTCTCAAATAACAAGTGAGAACACAATGAAGCTCACACTCACTAAATCACACTCCACAACCCACACTATATGGTATGAAGATATTAAGCTCAATATGTGTATGTGATAACAGTGAATGAAACTCAATAAATATAGCTAATTGAAATGAAAATGAAATAACAAGCTATATAAGAGTTTAGAAAACTTCTCAAACAAGAAGAACAGTAGATAATGTTCCCAATAGGATTTGAAAGCCACTTCTTGTTGTAGGAAAAACTTTTTTTGAAACAAACTGATGAAATCAGCTTAAACAGCTCTTAAACACTTTGTAAACTTAAGTAATCAATTCTCTTGGATAGTTCAAGTGTTGAAAGCAGTAGGGTATTTATAACAACCCAATACATCAGTAAAAACTCACTTAGATTGACTAAAAAGCCCACAAAAAACACCTGTAAAAAACTAGCCATTGGAGTGATCTGACAGTTCGGCGGTCGACCGGGGCGATCGACCGCGAAGCTAAAAAAAACAGAGTTTGAAAATATAAAGCTGGCGGTCGAGCGCGAAAGTCTCTGGGTGTTTTCACGATCGACCGTCACGGTCGACCGCGAGCACACAAAAGTAGTGCTAAGAAAAATTACTACTGGCGGTCGACCGCGGCGGTCGACCGCAATCTGATACTTGCTGAAAAACATGTTTTGGCTGATTTTAAAAATTCTTTAAAAATAGCAAATCAATTCCAAAAATAATAAAACTTTGGGAAAAGTTTCTAAATGATAAAATGAACATGTTAGAAAAGGAATTTTTGGAAAATCAATTTTCGTTTACAAAAACACACTGTTTTTTAAAAGTGTTCGTAAAACTTGTATTTTACGAATATGAAAATTTTGATATGACTCATAAATACGTATATATATATCATGCATATGAACTTGCATATGTAAGTAAACTAAACTTATACCTAGGTAAATCCACACATATGAACTTGAATCTTTAACGCTTGATTGTCATGTGTTGAAATACCTGTAAAGAGAAACATAAACACAAAACTAGAGAATATATTAGCTATAAATTGTTTGACAAATCATCATCAAAACTATAGGGTCAACAATCTCCCCCTTTTTTATGATGGCAAACAATTTATACATGAATATGAAATATATACTGATAAACCACATATAAACCAATCATGTATACAACATGAATAAACCATACATGAGTAAATAATAAATAAACCATATGTGGATTTTCTCCCCCTTTGACAACATCAAAAAGGGGAAAATAAAAAATAAAAAATAAAAAATAGGAGCAACGCTTCCCCTGCATATAAGCACAGATAAAAAGCCAAGTGAATTGCCAAAAGCTCCCCCTGTCAAATTGCATAAATGACATCTAAAAAGCATATTTAGGAGCTAAACAATAATTATCCATCCATAAACAATATATAATCCAAGGAACTCATCATTAGCAACATATTTTCCACAAACAAAGCATGAAAATTCTTTTCACCATGCATAGTTCATAGAAAAGATAAACTAACACAATAAATCACAAATCATCACTTAAACATCAGAAACTACATAGTTTTCCACGAACATAGTTTGTTACACAAAACTACAAACCATACATAAAAGGTTTCACAAAGTCACATGGTTTTCCACACAAGTAAAGAGTTATTACAACTCAAACTAAAAACATAAGTATCAAATTCTACAACTCAAAATAAAACATCACCATAAGCATAGAAACAATCTCCACCATAAGCACAAAAACCAGTAAACACAATAAGCACCAAAGTCAATCATCACCACCACCGTCACCATAAGAAGCATGGCCAGAGCCAGATGTAGATCCACCATCAGAGCCAGAGTCAGAATCATCAGCAGGGCCCTCCTCAGAACCAGACTCAGAACTGGAAGAGGGATCCGGAATCCCTAGAGACTGACGCTGATAGGATAGAATAGTCCTAACATCCCTCTGGATAGTTGAGACATGAGTCTCGAGACGATCCAAACGGGTACAGAGGTCAGAAGTGGAGGAGGAAGAGGCTCTAGACCGGGAACGAGAAGATGATGGCTGAATAGGATCAGATAGGGAACTGGAAATTTGCATCCGGGAAAGTGAGACCTTATCAAAAAAAGTCCTTCTTGGGTTCAATTTTGGGTTCATGAGTGAGATCAACACCAAAGTGTTGAAGGATAAGGGTGATGAAGGAGCCAAAGGGTAGAAATTTGAAATGCTTAGATGCCATATTTTTGAGAAAAACGTTTGCCCAATCTACTTTTATTTTAGCAAAAATGGCATATACAGCATTGATCTTGTCAGAAGCAAAATGATCAAAACTACCGGTTTTAGGAATCAGATTTTGAGCAATAATTCTAGCAATAAGTTTAGCATTTGGATTAAGAGAATTATTGTTCATCGGATAAGTGCAACCGGGTTTAAACAAGAGGTTGTTCACAGCTGGATCATCAAGTTCAATAGACATAAGGTCAACATCACCTGTTGGGATTTTAAGAATCCCCGCAAGTTCGTTGGCAGAAAAAGAAATTGCAACATGTTTAACAAATGTACTAATGGTCTGAAGACCATCAGCAGAGGATGATACAGATAAGTTAGCATAAAACAGATAAACTTGAAAAGGATAATAAAGAACTTTACGTTCCACATCTAATAGCCTAGCCAACCCAACATTATGAAAAATCGAATGAGTGTCATATAGGGCTAATTGATCAAATTTGATATATCTGGTGGGAAGAATTTTTAGTTTGCACAACTCCCTATATTTCTTAACTAGGGATTTAAACAAAAGAAAATCCTCATAATGAGAGGCTACAGAAGAAGACGAACCAACATCAGAATTTGATCTCTTTCTAGGAGGCATGTTCTATTAGGGTTTTTAAATGAAATTGGACAGAATTATAAAACCCTGGAAATGAAAATAGAGCAAAATAAGGTTTTTAAATGAAATTGGACAGAATTATAAAACCCTGGAAATGAAAATAGAGCAAAATAAGTAAAAATGAATTAACTCTAAATCAAAACCCTAGAAGAGCAAAATAAGTAAAAATGAATTAACTCTAAATCAAAACCCTAGACTGAGAATAGAATCACTAGAGCGGAAATGAAATCAAAAGATGAGAGGAGAGATTATTACCCTGTAGATCCCAACTGAGATTGACGGAGAAAGAGAGCGGCGGTCGACGAAGCAGGCGACCATGGGAGAAATCGATAGATTAGGAAAAATTTCCGAATGAGGGGAAAACTGAGGAGTCAGATCTTAGAGGAGATGAATGGAAGGGCTAGGATTAGTTTAGGGAACAGATCAACGGTGATGATAAAATCGGGTTCAAAACAGTTATAAAAAAAACCGAAACCCGATAAGAATTAAAAACGAGGCTGGAAAAATTTCTTGCGGTCGACCGTGGCGGTCGACCGTAACAACTTACAGAAACATCGACGGTCGACCGTGGCGGTCGACCGCGAGAAAGAAAAATGCATAGTCATTTGTAAAATCTGGATTTTGAGAAAGTTTTCAATTTAGTCCTTTAAGAATTTGTTTTATAAGATACCAAATGTTTTATAAGATATATATAAAAGTTTTTAGCTATAAAATCATACAAATAATTTATTTTAGCTAAATAAGAGGGAAAATTTACATACAAAAACCAAATTTTCAA